AATTATATACAAGAGCCCTCATTTTCTCGTCATACTGTTTAATAAGTCCAGTCGTCCATTTTTATAACTAGAGAATCGTTTAAGCATATTATACTGCATTATGAAAAAGAAAATTATGAAAACTGTCAAAAACTTCAATTATCCGGAGTGATGATCGTGTTGCTTATTGCTGCCCACGACGATCACACATGAAAGATGACATGATATTTCAAACTCTCGTATTCAACAAATGATTCAGACTCGGAAAAAATACTGTAAAACCAACGAATCACATGGGATTTCCCAGGGAGATTGATGGGATCGCTGGCAATACAGTAATTATTCGACTGGGGAAAATACTCGTACAGTGACTTGATTCAACTGAAAATAATGAGTATCCTCCCTCACACAGCTTCATTTTCTCTTCATTTCTAAATATGCTCGTCATGGAACGTATCCCAGTCTTCGGTTCGTGTACCAACTTTTCCTTCGACTCATGCACACTTCCGACGCACACGCTTGTACAATCGCAAGTCGGTCTCACTTCCGCGTATGGTACAAAAATAAAAAATAAATAAATACATATACAGTACATACAATATGAATAGAACGAGTAGGAGAGAAGGCACACACAGAGAAGAGAACAGGAAGAAAAAAGCGACAAATGGGGGCAAAGAATGAACAGACAAAAATAAATGAATAAAAGCAGCACAGAAGCCTAAAACGAACGACCAAAGAACTGGCCTCTATGAGGACGCAGCGGAGTCGGGATTTCGCAACCCGGCGGCTTCACCCTGGGTTTTTTCAAGGCCGCCTTTGTTGCGTATGGATCGATTCCACCACCACCGCCACGCATTGGACAAAAGAAAAGAAGTGGGATTCGGAAAGAATTACGAAAAATATTTCAAGAGCACAGCGGTGCTTCGTACATGACGAAAAAAAAGAAGTAAAAAATAAATAAAATTCATTTCATACAAAATGATTCGCGTTAAAGAAAAGAAGTGGGATTCGGAAAGAATTACGAAAAATATTTCAAGAGCACAGCGGTGCTTCGTACATGACGAAAAAAAAGAAGTAAAAAATAAATAAAATTCATTTCATACAAAATGATTCGCGTTTTGCTTCCGTGAAAAAAAATAAAAATTACCCGCGCAAACAACGAACTGCGTGGCCACTCTTCTTCATGCCTGAAGACTCGAATTACGGTTACACTGCTCCGTTAAATGTTTGTGTCTGTATTGTTACTTGAAATCGGTTTTATACTTTACTTTCTTCTAGTTCAAGTAAAGTGAAAATACTGTACATTCTGCGAAAATCGTTCCAGGAAGCAAAAGACGCAACAAACACACCGAGTTCGTTGTATGAAGCGCCACGGGTAAAATATAGCCTCCCCGAATGAATCTCGGGATCGAATGCATCAGCTAAACGTACGTAAACCGAGACACGAAATTGCACAATTTGTTAGAATAAATGATATCGTACTTCCGATTGTTCTTTCAATTCTAAAAAACGTGTATGTACAAATACAGTATATACACATTTTTTACGTACTTCCGATTGTTCTTTCAATTCTAAAAAAAATGTATATACAGTATATATATTTTTTTTAGAATTGATATATTATATATCATATTATACGTTATATATTATATTGTTCTTTCAATTCTAAAAAAATGTATATATACAATTTTTTAGAATTGAAAGAACAATCGGAAGTACAGATGACCTTACTCTTCACTATTTCCTTCTAAGGGAAGGCATCGAACATAAATGTACTGTATTCCTGATACAGCATTTCTCAATATTTTCTAAAAAATAAATAATAAAAAACTCCCGCAACTGAAGGTTTAATTCGATTAGTGAACTGAATCCGTTCCAAGAGGGAAGTCCATCATCCGAAAAGCTAAACACAAGAGACTACCGTGGGACCCCGCATTACGAAAAATTCGCATTGCGAAATATTTTTCGTGTTGAAAAAATCAAATAATGGAACTGTTTCCCAAAACAAAATTCCAAGGCCATAACGCTAAAATGTCATCAAATTCAAGAGTCAAAACTTTGAGATTTCCAGAAAATTTGAAGGAAATGAGAAAAAGATGGCCTAGTTAGCTCCTCGTCTTTCAATTATATAAACGTTATATATTATATAAACGTTATATATTATATAAACGCTATATATTATATAAGCGTTATATATTATATAAACGTTATATATTATATAAACGTTATATATTATATAAACGTTCTATATTATATAAACGTTATATATTATATAAACGTTATATATTATATAAACGTTCTATATTATATAAACGTTATAAATTATATAAATGTTATATACAGTATTATACAAATACAGTATTTCATTTTATATAAAATAAAATGGGATTTTTAACATAAGTAACGCAAACGTCAAACTTTTTTTTTTCTTTTTTGGGAGTACTCCACCAAAAAAGCTGGTTCACGAGCACACGAATTAATAGCCCCTCTCTTTCTCTCTCCCTTTACCCGAAGAGTCAAGGTTCAATTTCGAAATGAAAAACTTGGCTCGTTTTGCAACTGGCCGTTCTCTTTCTCTCTGACGCCACGTCATTATCGCCACAAGCTTACTACAACTTCACGGGGCACGAAGAAAAATTAACTAAATATAGAAAATGTATTGTACTGTAGTTGGTCCAAGCTTCCTCATTTCAATTTATTAAAACGTCAGAAGAAAGTCCAAAAAATATGCAAACCGCCCCCCCCCAAACTTTCCCCACAAGGATTTCCTGTAAAATAATATTTTTGCACGTAACGAAATTTGTCTGACCTTGGCAGACGCATTACTGTACAACGATGACCTTCCGTCAGTAGAGACTAATATTTTTTGCGTCAGACCGAACACCGCTTTAAATCGAGTTGACTGTAGTAAAATAAAAATGAAAGTAATGTGCCGTAAATTGAAAACCATCGAATCTATGGATTTTAAATACGTAAGTGAATCGGAATTTCATGAAAAGTACTTCGCATCGAATTGAAAGACGTTCGCCAAAGATCAAAAGGGTTCAGAGCTTGAATCTCTTGGTTCATCGACATGTAGACTCTCTCTCTACAACGAATTTTTTGGATCCCATGTGGGGTTTCTACCCATCATAAAGGGGTCCTCTACAACGGATTATCTTGAAGAAAGTTCTTTCAACAACGAATGTTTTGTGTTCACCCAAATTTCGTTGTAGAGAGGATCCCCCGTGTATGAAATTTTTCCGACGGAATCCTCTCTAAAACGAATACAGTATGTTTCGTTGTCTCATGGTTTTTGTAGCAGAGTGAGATCCTACATCCATGCCCCAAGAAAAGTTTCTTTAAGAAGGTTCATGGTTACAAAGACCAAGTGACTCAAAACGACATCTCTTCTCAAGTGGACGTAGTCTTGGGCAAGAAGGACTGTTTACCCAAGTTAGTTACAGGGGGTAATTTCGTTGTAGAGAGGATCCCCCCGTTAATGAATCCTTGTCTCATGGATTTTCTAGCAGAGTGGGATTCTACATCTCTAGGGGTTCTCTTCAAAGAAATTCTTTCAAGTACTGTACCAATGTTCCTGGTCCACTGAGTTTTCTTGTTGAGAAGAGTTCACCTGCATCAAAACCCGTTCTTCCTCACAAATGAGTTCAATCTGTGTCCCCCAAATTTCGTTGTAGTGAGGATCCCCCGTATATGAATCCTTGTCTCATGGATTTTGTACCAGAGTGGGATTCTACATCTCTAGGGGTTCTCTTCAACGAAATTCGTTCAAGTACTGTACCAATGTTTCTGGTCCACTGAGTTCCGTTGTAGAGAAGAGTTAACCTGCATCAAAACCCGTTCTTCACCGACAGATGGGTTCAATCAGTGTATAGATGAGACGCCACCCCACCCCACCCGGGTTCCCTGGGACGCGGCCCAGCAATAAATCTCAACCTGCGCAGACACCAAACGTACGCAAGATGCGATGATCATGATCATGACTCTGCCTGAATGACTTGACTGACTCAACAACGACCAACATGATGATGATGATGATGAGGCAACTCCGGTGCAGCAAGGACTCACTCTCTCTCTCGCTGGCTTCCACGTCCGCCCGTTGCCCAACGACCCGCCCTCCTCCTCCACCACCACTTACATATTCCTTCCTTATTTTTCTTTGTATTTTATCTGTTCCTTCTCTCTTCTTCTTTCCTTCCCCACAGCAGCAGCCAGGGGTGCCCACCCACCCGCGCGCGCGCGCAACTGACTCGACCATGAACTTCATTCGAGGACACCCGGCGCAACCGGTCACCCCCCCCCCCCCCCCCCCCCCCCCCCCCCCCCCCCCCNACCGGCCCCCCCCCCCCCCCCCCCCCCCCCCCAACCTAACATTGACGCCACGAGTCCAGGCTTGGCCAACTTAGTCAGTAAGTCAGTCCATCCATCCGCCCACGCCCCGTTTCCTTCCCCATTCCCTCCCTCCCTCTGCGTCCCTCGAAGTTCTCAAGATTTCTTCAGGGCCACTCACTCATGGCAGCTCTGAGAATGTGTGTACAGAACGCGGAGGAACAAATACTTCATGGCTGGCATCACAGCGGAGAGAAATGCTCTAGTGATCGATTGGCCTTTCATGGAAACTTTTGTCCTGTATCAAAAAAAAATAATTAAAGGATTTTGTGTCACTCGAGTGGGAATCGTCCGAGATTTTATTTGCTGCCATAATGCTGAAGCTGGGTCGTGTACTTCAGATTTGGTTGGGTATGCGAGTACGATATTTCTGGATCATTCAAGTATAATAACTGTCTCGTTTTGTATGAGGCACGTTAGCTTCGATTTGATGGCTAAATTTCAGTCAACTAGGCCAATTCAGGATATACCGTACCTTTCTGTGGATCAGATATATTTTATGGTACGGTTGTGTACGCGAGTTTGGGATCGATTCACCAGTCGAACCTCAAGGCAACAAAAACAAGTTAAGGAGGTTTCGAGTTCGGGAAACAAGGCAATTAGTGTTGAGGGAAAGACATAAAAATTGCTGGAAATCGTAATTGGTGATAATCTAGGCCTTAAATGCGTTGACAGTACAGTATGTGGAACTTTGAGGCAAGGGTTTATTTGTACAAATAGTCTTTAACTTCCTTTCAAAAACGCATCAATTCGAATTTTTTATTGCTTTTCTCTTTCCCATGTCGATAAAAGTAGAATATGGATTTGTGTTCGGTAAATGTAGCAACCCCCCCCCCCAAAAAAAAAACGATAGAAACAGAACAAGTTCTTGAAATTTCCGAATAAAAGACATTTCTTTAAATGCGGGTATGAAGTATTAATCCGGGATTTCTCCGTCTACTCCACGATTTCCAAGCCAAGATTCTAAAGACGCGGGATTAATTTCGAAACGTGTGAAAAAAAAAATGAATCGACACGGTTCTCGGACGGTTTTGCATAATTATAACCTTCGTGTCACTCGCTTCGGTTCGAGAAATTCAAGGATAAATCTTGACAACCTCTCGGTACGAAATATATATATTTTTTTTTTCGAGAGTTTGAAGGGTGGTTCCGCGGTTGACAACAGACACAAGGACACGTCAGAGACGCTTCGGCTACGAGATTTCATGCTTGAAATACCCGGGAGATTCAAGATTTTTATCGTAAAAAAAAAAAAAAACAAGAGAAAAAATTGCCTCATCTGAAAAGGAAACAAACTCTGGATTTTCACGCGTGAGAATTAGTAAAATATTTATAGTTTCTCTATTTAAACATGTCCACCGTTTTATTCAAGACGAAAATTCTTCATCCTGAATTATTTCAAATTTCATGAAAAAAATTTCCCGCCCTATTACTCAGTCGAGGATAACGTTCTAAACAAACATGAAATATTCAAAATCGCAAGTCCCATATGAATTTCCAAGTGCTTCGAGTTGAATTTGTAACTTCAAGTTAATATACAGTAATAATTAAAGTATGTCGAAAAATAAGAACTGGAGAAATCTTTGAACAGCGATATTTCCAGAAACTGTTCCCATTATTTCGGACTGATCAATTTTGGATAAATGGTTATGTCTTCTAGTGAAGAACATATTCAACAGCTCAGGAGTTGAATCATGAGTGAATCGTTCAACACCGTCATAATTTACTTAATTTTCGAGCGACAAGTTTTTACTTCCGTAAAGAACAAACCTTGAAATCACCAAGCGAAGACCATTCATTAATCTGGAGGCTATCAACTGATGCGGAGCCCTTCAAGCTCAATTGAAGTTCCCAGGGTTTCCATGAGTCAATTAAAAGAAAAGCACGTTAATAAATCTAAGAAAATAGAAACGAACAGCAAAAAAGGGAATGCACATCAGCACGAAGAGAAATAAACATGCCAGTCCGCAAGATCAAGCCGGGCCAGTAAAAAAGAAAAAATCTTCAATTTATGATCCACAAAGTTTACTTATTTGGATCCCGAACGGAGATAATATTCATGAAAGACTTCGCGAATCGAGAATACTGCGTTACCAACGGAAAATATTTCCTGGCTTCAAATAAATCAGCAGCAATACCACATTCTTTGTTGCAAGTACAGTGAGACCCCGAGATGCGGACGTGATTGGTGCATTAAGAGTGCCCTTAAGTCGAAATGTCCACAAGTGTAGTCTCATTTTCCCTTAGACTTACATCATATAATTTTAATTGATGTTTTATGTACAAAATACTCACCATCATTCCATGAAAATAAAATTGCCTCCCAATTGAAACTGATTCAATCAATATACCGGTATTTCAACTTGATATGGACATTTGGGGAATTGAATACTGATACCTCTGTACATCAGTACATAGAAATGTTGGCATTCTCTGTAAAAAAAAAATAACGTTCCAATAAAAAAGAGAGAAGGAAGTCCCTCTTTGCTTGAGGTAATTTTTTTTGAATTAGCTAAATGGGAGGTAAATTGGTGAGAGAAATGCCCATGAACTTGTCTTGCATCAATTTTAGGGTTGGAAATATCTGTTTCTTGTAATTTGGCCTGAAACGAATTTACAATTTCATTACAAAATGTCCCTATTTTGAGTCAGTGTCCTCATGCTTTTTCATTAATTTTTAATTGGAAAATAAGTGTCCCTATGTCGAATCGTCCGCATGTGGGGGTCGCACTGTCGTAATTTTTTTAGAGGAATCCAAAACAACGTACAGTATTTCGCTAAAAAAATCGTCAATTGAAATCTCCGTGTAATGCACACGTATGATCGTCAGGAACGCATCTGTTATTTATTCAAAACGTCGCAGTGAAACGAAAAAATAAATAAAATTAAGAGAGTTACATCAAAAGGTCGTCGCGGGTTACCCTCGTGGCAACCGTCGGAAAAATGGAGGTTAAATCCCACCGTGACTCAGGTCCTCAAAAAGTATCAAGGAAAGCCGGATCCGCTTCCACAAATATCTCTTTCGGAGTCCGAATTTTACGAGCAAATATATCAACTACCCGACACATGAGATATCGATAAAAACGACGATAGGGCGCAAGCGATAATCCATAAACGCAATGAACGAATCAATACTTACTGTATATGGAAAGCCCAGGTTGGTACAGTACAGTATCGCAAAATTGTGACTCGAAATCTGCCGCAATTAAAAATGAATAGTGATGCAGCGAGTTCCCACACGAAGAAAATGGCCAGGAAGAAAAAAGGATTCTAATGACGAAATGGTTAGTTCGAGAATGCTTAAAATTTGATGAAATTTCAATTTAAATTATGGATTTTTCCCGAAAATTGAGAGCAATGATGAATGAAAATTCAAGAAATTTAGAAACTTGTGAGCAAAAGATGTCCGCACGACTTCAACTTCCCGCTAGACAATTTTACGTTAAAGTCCATAAACCGAGGCACCGCTGACCGAAATTCCAAAAGGAATTATCCCTTTACTTGGTCGAGGAACTGTTTGGGAGTGTTTAACCAATTATTAATTTCCGAAGAGCTCAAAATCACATTACTCAGTCGAAAAAAAAAAATTTCTCCCGACAATTGACTTCCAGTAATAACGTCCCAGTCCATTAACCGAGGCACCGCTGATATTTGGGAGCGTATATACATAAACAAGTCTCAATTCCGCATAACTTAAAATTACTCAGTTGATGAAAAAGTATTCGGAAAATTGACTTCAGCGGAGTATATCCAAGTCCATTAACCGAGTCACCGCTGATCAAACTTAGAATGTGATTAATCCCCTTACTTAGTTCAGGAACTACCAAGGAGTGTGTAACCAACGAGTATGTCTGCATATCTTCACAGTATTGGGTTGACACAATATTCTTGGGAAAATGAACTCCCCACTGGAATATATCCAAGTCCATTAACCGAGGCACCGCTCATCAAACTTCGAATGTGATAGATCCCCTTACTCAGTTGAGGAACTGCCAAGGAGTGTGTAACCAACGAGTATTTCTGCATATCTTCACAGTAATAGGTTGACACAATATTCTTAGGACAATGGACTCCCCCCCACTGGAATGCATCCAAGTCCATTAACTGAAGCACCACTGGGGAAAATCCGAAAGTTACATCCTACCTTTCATCCAATGTGCAATGGAAAACCACAGAAAAAAAAATAAATGAATCAATCAGAAGATTCCTTTCGCAGGACATCTCACAATTTCTGCTTTCAGTTGAGCACGAAAAGTCAAGAAAATACGTCATTCGCAATGAACTAAAAAAAAAAATGCATAAAAAGTTCCACGCGACAATGACGAACTTTTCCTCGACTTGCCATACAAAGTATACATTTAATAGAAAAACAATAAAACTCAACGAAACAACTGAAACCCCGGCTACAACCCGCCTAAAGGTTTCATCACTCTGGCGTATGGTTGCAACGCTCGCCCTTCTTCTTCCGAGGTCAACCAGTGGTCGAGTTCCAATACGTACGTTCGGAATCAACCTCGCGAGCCAAGCGACCTTTTTTTTGTTGGTGTTGTTGCCACTTCATCCAATAAGAGATTCTTCCCGAACGCAAAAAAAAGAAAATAAGTTGAAAATCTTACTACAAGTTGAACCTCTGTAAGTCGAATTTCTAGGGACAAGGAAAAAAATTCGACATAGGGAAGTTTCAACTTTGGGAGGTTTTGATTTTTGCAGGTTTTTAATTAGGGAAAAATAATTCTTGCTGTGAGGATCAGTAAAAAAAAATTGCAGGAAATTGTAAATGAGGAGATTCTAGGCCTAAACTTGCCTCTTAAATGAGTTTTTACTGTGCTGAACTTGGAGGAAGGGGTTCATTTGCTATATTTTTCTTTCAATTCCTTCCAAGATACATCGAATTATTTGTTTTAATAATTTTCTCTCTCATATTTCACAGAAAAAATAACTAGAAGGCCTCAGAAAATTCGACTTACAGGGGTTTTAGAAAAAAGAATTCGAGTTAGGGAGGTTTTTAATGTATTGATTTTAAGGGAATTTGCACAGGGACTTGAAAAAAATTCGACTTTGGGGAGGAATTCGACTTACAGAGGTTCGACTTATCGAGGTTCACATGTAATTTGTTTTTGCATCGCGGGGATTTTCTAGTCCGAAAAAATCTTGCTGCTACCTTAATACCGTTTGTTCTCGATAAAAATTTTGATTTATGTCGAGTGTCGGTTTATTGGTGGTAAATATTTAAAAAAAAAACTGAAAATTCTCGATCAATTCGTTCGTCTTTTAAAGACGAATTCTCAGTACAGTACATGAAACGTCAATATCTTTTAAACAATTTCTTTCGGATGGAAGTAAACGAAATTACCGAGTGTTTGAACGACGGAATCTCAAGTCTAAATTTTAGTTCAGGCTGATTCAAGTTGGATTACGTTCAAATCGTTGTCGCTATGAATGATAAGTTTTTCCATGTGTTGTTCCGCACTGTATTGTATTGTAGTGCTTGTTCTTCGGCGCTGATTCACCGGAAGATTCAATCAACTCGATCACTTTTCGGGTTTCTCTTGAAACATTTGTGGATTGTATTGAACTACTCGCGATATTTCAAATCGAACGACACGTTCGTCACTGGGATTTTCAATTACAGAATCTATAAACAGCACATGTGCAACGAAGTTCCGTGATGCATTAATTTCTCGGTCCGCTAAAAATGTAGCGCGGGAAGATCTAATTCTACACCATCTCAAAGCCCGAAGGAAATATTTTTCGTCGTAAAAAGATCAAATTAAAACTCATCATACTCATACATATTATACTGCATTAGTTTAAAGAAGCTGCTTTTAACATAAATGTTTTGGTATTACACAGGGATCCAATTTCTCACGCCCAGTTAAATGCTAGTCGATCGTTTTTTGTTTTGTTTTTAATGGTCCTGTTCACGATAAATATTTTCAAGCATTTTAAAAACTGAATTTCAATTTCTCTTTGGTCGGCAAAAAAATGAAGAAAATAATAATAATCACTATAATTTCTCATTTTACTGTTCAGATTTTCTAGCGAGTTTATTGCGTACTTGCGAATGACTACGCATCCGAAACCGTGTTGCCAACGTTTCAGAAAATTTTCTGTTGCAGTGGAATTTGCATTTAATGACAGGGAGCTCCATTCCCCCCCCCCCTTTTTCTGCCCTCAATGTTACGCTTTAGAGATTGCAAACGATACTTTGTGCAGTACGTATTTTTCACAGTCTCCGAAATTTCGCCGTAGTACTGCGCCTCTGGGGTACATTTTCAACGTCCCCAGGCAAACGATCAAACCATCAACTGTCTGTCGCACTGTTACAAAACCAGTTTTCCTTTTGTCAAGGTTGAGACCAGAATAGTCGGGTGACCCGAAAAGGGTGGGGTGGGTTTGCATTCCTTCCAACTCCTTCACCCGATTCGTCAAATTCTGTTCCCCTTTATTAATAATACTGCATTGAATTTTGCAAGTGCAGTGAGACCCACACATGCGGACGCCTCGGACAATTCGACATAGGGACACTTATTTTCCCAGAAAAAATCAATAAATAAGGCCCGACATGAGGACACTGACTCGACATTGGGACATTTTGTGATAAAATTGCAAAGACATTTCAGGCCAAATTACAAGAGACAGATATTTCCAACCCTAAAATTGATCCAAGAAAAGTTCTTGGGCATTTCTCTCACCAAATTACCATCAATTTAGCTAATTTTAGAAAAATTACCTCCCGCATTGAGGGACTTCTACTTTTTTTTCACTTGAATGCTGTTTTTGTAGATGCCAAAATTTCAGTGTACAGTACAGAGATACACTATTTAATGCTTCAAATGTTCTTATTGAGTTGAAAATGTATTCACTGATTCAAATTTAAGTGGCAAACAATTTTTTCAGGGAATTCTGAAGAATATTTCTTCCAGAAAACACCAATTAAAAAATATATAATGTAAGTCTAAGGGAAAACAAGACTCGACTTAGGGACATTTCGACTTGGGAATGCTCTTGGTTCACCAATTACGTCTGCATCTGGGGAGTCTCACTGTAATTCAGAACGTTGAGAATATTCTTTAACAAAACACTTATTTACTAGACCAAATCTCCTCTCAAGACTAATGAACAAAATTTTCAGGAAATGTTCTTCTTGACGATAATTGCCGACAATTTTTGTCCAGGTCCTAAATTATATTGGTTTAGCTTTGTGAGGAAAAGATTTGCAGAGGAACTTTCTTCTACCACACAAAAGGCGGAAAATATAGAAGGTCGAGATAGTACAAATTTTGTAACAGGTTTTGATGATTGAGAAAAATGAAACACAGTTCAAACAGCCGGGCTGCGGCCGGGACTTGTTGTCCTAGTTGAAAATATTATATTGATCTAAGACAAGTCCAATTTGAGCAATTGGAAGGAATTTCACAAGCACAAGAAAAGAAACCGATTTTGGAATTGGTTTGAGATTTTGAAATACGCAAATTCGCAAGAGTTCTCCGGAGATCCGCACAACTTGAGAGTTCAATGCAGAGTGACAAACCATTGGTTTTTAGTTAACCACAACAACTATTCAAATTAAGAATGAAGGCTGGATTTTGGCAACTTTCATTCTTTCCCCTTTTGCGTTTTTAGGAAATGTCCTTGGGTGAGCCTGGGAACCGAACCTGGGTTTGGTTCTCAGGCTCACAAAAAAATGCATTGATAATTTTGTCTGGCGCCTCTTGGAATCGTTGCAAAATTAGGTAATTTAGATTTTTTCCTGACAAGCTTCACTGCCCTGAGTAATGTGCCAAATCCTGTTTTGCACAAAGCATTTCCTTCAGGAGGAATAACCTCCAAATTACATATCTGAAATCATTTCTCTCTCAAGAAATGATTCCCTGGTCATTCACCCCATATTTGTCCATATTTTATATTAGCAGTGGACTTCCCCCAGATTCTGATTCCCTCAGGAGAATCAGAATCTTGTGAAATATTGCGGCGTGCATTCTCAGAGAAACGTCCTCGCGTATATTTTGAAAGTCTCACTTGAAAGAACTATCTATTTGTCTCGCATATATATCTAGAAATTTTATAAGAACCTGGTGTATATTTTATTTGACGACTGGACAACATCTGAATATTGCTGCTTTTACTGTCCTCAGGAATGTCGACTTGGTGGTCAAGTTTTCAGGGGGAATCAGTCCGGGCTTGTCTTACAGCGTCAAGCAACTGATTTCGAGGGAATTGCAGTTGAAAAAATTGGAAAAGCCTCAGGCTGAAGTTACTGTGAGCAGCAACAATAAAATGCCTGCGGGAAAAAGTAAGGTTGAAAAAGACGAAGACCTTCCGTCTCACAAGCGACAAAAGTTGAATCCGAAACAAATCGACGCGGATCCGGAAGTTGTGAAGGTGACATTTTTTCCGATTGTTACTCTGCAAAATATTGATGTTTTTCTAACTCCAAAGAAAAAAAATTAATGCGACCTTGGAACGTGTTCAGAAATGTGATACTTCGAGGGGGAAGAGCCTGAATTTGTATGCTGAGAATTCATTCATGCAGTTGGAAATTAATCGATTGGTTATTATTTATGATTATAACTGCTTGGATCTTCTGTGAGATTCTTTCAAGTTTTGTGCTTCGCGAATCTTGAAACGTTTCATTTTCAAAATAGAGCAGTTTGAATATGCCTACCTGATTTTTTTTAATCATATAAATTGCTCGGTATGAGATTGGCCATTCACAATTTTCGAAATTCTTACCCGAGTTGCGAATGTAATGATTCGTTTTGATAATTTGTTGTGCCTCTGGAGCGTTATTTCGAACAATCAGAGAAGGTAATTTGTTTAGATTAGATGAACTGTTCACGGATTTTTTCGCCACATCATTTTCAGGATGATAAATGCGGAGATTTATTGTTTTTTCATTTTACCTGTTGAATCCACAGACTCCGAGGGATTTTTTCGGACGTCCGATCACAGTTGTGCCGAAAGAGAAGATAGAAGAAGGTGGGTTTCTTGGAAAGCTGTTGAGGTTTGAAATCTTGAGTCAAAATGTTTGCATTTCTCTTTTCTTTTTTTTGACAGAACGGAATGTCCTGACGTCTTCTGGAGTATGGTATCACTTCAAAGAAGGCTACAATAATGCCGTGCGGAAAGTCATCCGTATGAAAGATTTGATTTAGGTTTCTACGTTTTGTAAATTTTTGGAAAAAATAATGAATTTTTTATTATTTACATTGAGTTTGTTTTTCTACCATCTGAGTGATTCCAGTTCCAACAGAATGTTTCTGCCAAAGGCTCAAATGACAAACGAACATGGAACGTTTCCAGCATGTATTTCTCATCCACGCCAGATAACACATAACCAGATTAAAGAACAATTCAGCCACTATTTTTTATTGAACCTAGAAATGATCTGAAGCAGTCCTAGAAATATGTAAATGATGTCCAGGTAGAGCGTGATGGCGGCGTAAATATGCTCCTCGGGGCTCAGCTCGATCTTCCTTCCACCCATGATTTGTTGCACGTCGAAAACTAAATACTGTTGACGAGAAAGAAGATGGAACATTTCATAGGTCTTGGTCATACATACGAATTGAACGATTTCGCATTGGATCAGCATTTTACTACACTTATCCAAATAGCCCAATAATAAGCTTGTGTTGTCATGCAGATTGTTGGAATTAGTGTTGTGAAGAAAGCATGGATACAATACAGTTGAACCTCTTCAAGTCCAACTTCAAGGGCCCAGTAAAAAATTTCAGTTGGGGAGGTTTGAAGATATGGAAACGAGCATTTTTGTTGCGGGAGAGGGAAGAAGAAATTCACAAAATTATTGATGGTATTCTGGGACTTGAATTGCTTTTTAAAATGAGTTGACAGAATGCTGAACTTTGAGGCAAAGGTTAATGTGTCCAGTTAAAGCACATCAAGTTACAGTTTTATTGATTTTCTCTTTCCTGCATCAATAAAATACAGCTGAACCCTCTCTATAATGAATATTGTTTGATCCTGTAGGGTACTCTACCCATGCTTTGGGATTCTCCATGAGAATTTTTTCTTCTAGCCACTTGCATTTGTTGTAGTGCAAGTCCACCAGTAATGGCCTAAAGTTATCCAGAAAATTCCAGTTATAGAGATTTGAGGAGGAAAGCCTTTTCAGTTATGGAGGCAATTAATGCATTGATTCTAAGGGAATTCAGAGAGAGACTGACATTTCACATAGATACACATTTGACTCAGGGAGGTTCAAGTTATCAAGGTAAAACTGTAATTATACCATGTCTTGTATTATAATGCTCATCATTTTTAGATAACAACTCATTAATTTATACTGTAGTACAGTTAAACCTCTGTAAGTCAAATTTCTTGGGGACCAGAAAAAAAAATTCAACTTAGAAAGGTTTTGATTTTTGGAGCTTTCCAGCAGTCGAGGAACCAAAACTTTTGTTGTGAGGAGAAGTGAAAAAAGTGTGGGGAATCATAAATGAGGATATTCTGGTCCTAAACTTGCTCTTTAATGAGTTTGAACCTTGCTGAACTTGGAGGCAGGGGTTCATTTGCTATATTTATCTTTCACTTCCTTTCAAGATGCATCAAATCATTTTCTCTTTCATATTTCAAGGAAATAACCAGAAGGTCTCAGAAAATTTGGCTTGAAAAGGATTTGGAGAAAAAGACTTCAACTTAGGGAAGGCTCACCTCACAGATGTTTCCTCTCACAGATATTTGTTCAATTTTGTCAGGAAGTCAAAATATGCCAATATGTCATGAATCCAACATTCAGAACATCAGGAAGCACATGTGGACTCTCTCTACAAAAATTTTCTTTGCACTGTATAACAAATTTATTTTTAGTCCCTTATGTAGGGTGGTCTCTCCATGTTGGAGGGGTTCATTGCAACAACAACAAAAATTATGGTCCCCTCAATTTTTTTGTAGAGAGAGTGCATCTGTCTCCATTTTTAGTGAAATTGTAAAGAAAAGAACTGTACCATAGAGAACAGAAGTGCAGTGAGTCCTCCATAGACAACTGACATGATCCTGTGCGCATCCTGGTCCACATAGTAAACAATCATGGTCGCAACGCCGAAAACCAGCACAACTAAACCGGCCACGAACAAGTACATGCCCATCCCGGTCACGTCAACCTTGGTCGTTGTGGCGAGCAGAGTCAGCAGGACTACTACACCCGCAGTCATACCCACAGCCAGGAACACATCAGCGACATTATGGAATGCGGAAATGGCGCCGATCATGAAGGACATGGCCAGGGTCTGGAAAAGAATCCAATGAATTTTGCAAAACATTGGTATAAAGGCGGTATCAGCAATAGTTTTTTTAACGCACATGTAAAAGTTTCATCATGTTGAACATTAAAATTTTTACAACAAAGCATTTCAGGATTGGAACAAACGCTGTAAAAAAAAGCACATTTATATTGAGCTTCAAATAACATTTGGGCTATTCTTGAGGGACCTCGAAAACGGAATCCTTCTGTGCAAAAATGTATTTGTCATGAGACTGTGCTGTGACAAAAGGAAGATTACATTTGATTATGTCAAATGCTATAAAAGTGGACAAAAACAAGCAAAATATTCTTTCAGCTAAATTCCATATTGGTACCACAAAAATTCGTTAGAGCAACAAAAAAAAGCTTCTGATTGAGATTCAAATAAAAAAAATTGAAGCATGATTTCTACAATAATACAGGGCTCAATTGTTTCAAACCTGAAATGAATTCTTAATAAATTACAAGCATCAATCTAGAACTACATTACAAAAACAATTCATCAAAGAAAACAAGCACAGCATCAGTACAGTAAAAAAGTTTGTCTAATGAAAATTATTTTTTTTATTCCGTGAATTAATATGAGAATTGTGAGAAAATCCTTAGTGCATGTCAGATGTTGTTAATCACATTTTATTCAACAGTGTCCTCAATTTTAGTCAGATGCTTGAGATATTCGTTATAATTATAAATCAGTTTATATACAAAAATTCTTCAGTCAAAAGCTCGTTTTAATGAAAATTTGGTTATTATGAAAAGTCGTTATAATGAAAAGATTTAATGGTTTTAAACAGTCTTGCCTTAAGGCAAACATTTAGTTAATTTGATGTTAAATAATTTGAATAAAAGAAAACTTGTCTTAAACTCGTTACGAAAAGGATTAAAAAGAGATTTTTCATGTCATAGGCGAGCAAAATTGGCTGATTTCTGTAATGGTGATGGACACTGGAAAAAATCGGAATAAAACAGCAATTGCTGCACCGAATTTGAAAACAAAAATTACTTGTTGTATGGCGTTTCATCTGCCAGGACCTTCGAAAATACCCTAAAATGTTCCCATGAAAAATGCCTTCACTGGATGTAAGTCAGAATAAAATCTTCACTTGTATCAAGCTATACGGTAAGCCCTGGAAATAACTTACGAAGACTCCCAGTACAATCAAGTTGGCTGGATGGTTCCTCCGCAGGCTCGGCACACAAACCAAGGACAAGTATGTGGCAAAGAACACAACACTGCCGATTGAAAGAATCCAGAAAAAAAAGGCGTCATGAAGAGAAAACAATTAAACTGAAAGACTTAAAATTCATACTTACTACGACACAATGTAAGCCCATGCGTTCCGAACGAACCAGAACTTGACTGAATCGCTGAGAAGATGAAATAAAACGGAAATTTTAGCAAATTAATGTCATCAGATTTATTTTTCTATTTTATTCACTTGAAGAAACGATTTTAAAGTTTAAAATAAATAAAAAATTACTGCTAAATTCACGATTTTTTTGTCAAGAAAAATTTCGTGACGCGAAACCATATTTTCATACAAATCCCATTTTGGTACAAGTAAAATTGTGCTGAGAAAAAAGTTTGCTACACACGAGTCTCTCGTCATCATCTCCACCAAGGACTCGCAATTAAAAATGTTTTGTCATATAATGTTTAATCTACATGATTTTAGATAATCCTTCTCTTTCTACATGTAAATCACAGCATGGAAAAATTTGTCAGAACGGAATTCCGTTTGTAAATCAATTAAACTACAATTTATTAAACTTATTTTCTTTTGAACAGAATTTGAGCAATGCTTTTCCTAATTTTTCTCTAAAAAGTACAGTATCCGCTCTAAAATTGGTTGATTTCTGTAATTGGGATGGACACTTGAAAAAAAAAATCGGAATAAAACAGCAATTGCTGCACGGAATTTGCAAACAAAAATTACAAGTTTTCAGAGATTTTCTGAAAACTTGTTGTATGGCGTTTCATCTGCCAGGACCTTCGAAAATACCGTAAAATTTTCCCATGAAAAATGCCTTCACTGAACGTAAGTCAGAATAAAATCTTCACTCGTATCAATAAGTTATACGGTAAGCCATGTAAATAACTTACGAAGATTCCCAGTACAATCAAGTTGGCTGGATGGTTCCTCCGCAGGCTCGGCACACAAACCAAGGACAAGTATGTGGCAAAGAACACAACACTGCCGATTGAAAGAATCCAGAAAAAAAAGGCTTCATGAAGAGAAAACAATTAAACTGAAAGACTTAAAATTCATACTTACTATGACACAATGTAAGCCCATGCGTTCCGAACGAACCAGAACTTGACTGAATCGCTGAGAAGATGAAATAAAACGGAAATTTTAGCAAATAAATGTCTTCAGATTTATTTTTCTATTTTATTCATTTAAAGAAAAGATTTCAAAGTTTAAAATATATAAAAATTACTGCTAAATTCACGATTTTTTTGTCAAGAAAAATTTCGTTACGCGAAACCATATTTTCGTACGAATCACTTTTTTGGCAGAAGTAAAATTGTGCTGAGAAAAAAGTTTGCTACACACGAGTCTCTCGTCATCATCTCCACCAAGGACTCGCAATTAAAAATGTTTTGTCATATAATGTTTAATCTACATGATTTTAGATAATCCTTCTCTTTCTACATGTAAATCACAGCATGGATGAGATCATTGCATAATCTCAACAATTCCAAAATTTTTTTATTACAGAGCTTGCATATAGCCCAATCATTCGGCAAAATAACTTCAGTACTGTTCAATTAACGTACTCTCTGCGGATTTCAACGCATTTTTTCGCATAATACATTTGTAGATAAAAACAGTGCTAAAAATCAAATTCTGTTAGTCAATTAGGCAACCTGCTGTGACTTTTTCTGGCTGTTCCCAACACTGTAAGATGGACCTAAAAGGAATGGATTTTGAGGACAGGAACAGCCTCATTTTTATGCTGTCAAAGAGCAGCTTAAATCAACTATCCCAGCAAAAAAATTTGAGCATTTATGAACCCATTTGGAGACCCATTCACAAATGGTCAATCCTGCCCATTCAGAAAATGGTCTTACAAGAATCTTTGAACTATACAGTGAGACCCGCTGAGATGATGAATGTAATTGGTGCATCAAGAGTCTCCTTAAGTCAAAATTTCCCAAAGGCAGGTCTCACTTTCCCTTAGACTTACATTATATAATTTTTAATTGGTGTTTTATGGACAAAATATTCACCATAATTCTATGAAAATAAAAATTGCCTCCCAATTTGAAACTGATTCAATCAATATATTTCAACACAATATGGACATTTGGGGAATTGAATACTGATACCTCTGTACGGTACATAGAAATGTTGGCATTCTCTGTAAAAATAACATTCAAGTGAAAAAGAGAGAAGGAAGTTCCTCTATGCTGGAGGTAATTTTTTTAAATGAGCTAAATGGTTGGTAAATTGGTGAGAGAAATGCCCAAGAACTTTTCTCACATCAATTTTAAGGTTGAAAATATCTGTTTCTTGTAATTTGGCATGAACTATTTTTGCAATTTTATCACAAAATGTCCCTATGTCAAGTCAGTGCCCTCATGTCAGGCATTTATTATTATTTTTAATGGGAAAATAAATATCCCTGTATTGAATTGTCTCCAGGTCAAGGTGTCCACATGTGGGAGTCTCACTGTAGTTTACTGGGCATTCAACTAACGCCCAAATGAATGCCCCTTTAATAACCATTCAACAAATCCCCCATATATTTTTAGTGCTGGCATTGGAGTGGACCAATCATGAACCCAGTATAAACAAATGGGTCAAAAATGTGTATAAAATTAAAATTTCAAATAATTTAACTACTATATTTCAATTTTCCACACGTCAGTCACCCACAGCTGTTTCCATCTTGGATTTACTTTATCCCAAGAAAAGTATGCAATGAAATCGGCGGAATAAGTTATGTTGAACAGCAGTCAAGTGTTGCCAAATGATGGGGCTTTTTGAGTAATTTTTTGCCCTTGTTGGAATTGTTTAGGGTCTATACCCAGGATTATTCATCTGCTAATAACGTGTGTCTGATGTGATCCCGGTCTTGCTCATCGCGTGCATCATCAAAGCTGTTTAAAATTAAAATTTTCAAGGGATTCGAGAATAAATATGCCTTTTTTCAAAAACAAGCTAACAATAATACTGTATCTCACTTGAAAACAAACATGGCTATGAATGCCGAAGTGGTCAGGAGCTGAAGACTGAGAATGCTGTAAACCTTCCTCACAAAGGCCCGTCGCACAGCCTGATTCCCAAACGAGAGGCCGTAACCTTCAGGCATCGCTTCCAGATCTCTTTGTTCTCCTGGTTGGTAAACTGGTCCTCTTGTGGCATCCTGAATCTGAAAAAAAATGCCAGCCTCTTTCATATACAAATTTAATACATGATACAACAGTCAAATGCAGGAGGCTTAATATAAAAATATCAACAAAACTCATAATTAATAATAAGTCAATAGATCTCATAATCAATAATAAAAGTTCACACCACATACTTATTGATAATAGAGTCAAACCTCATCATTGACAATACTGAACAGCAGTCAAATCACATATTTGATTATACTGAACAGTCCAAACTCATAATTAATAATACAGTCAAAACTCATGATTAATAATACAGTCAAAACTCATGATTAATAATACAGTCAAAATTCATAATTAATAATACAGTCAAAACTCATAATTAATAATAGTCAAAACACATAATTAATAATACAGTCAAAACTCATAATTGATAATACAGTCAAAATTCATAATTAATAATAATAAGAATACAGTCAATCCTCACAATTGATAATACAGTCAATCCTAGTTAATAATACAATCAATCCTCATAATCAATAATTCAGTCAAACCTCAGTACCTCAAAAAATAAAGTCAAACCTAATAATAAAAATGGACTCTCTCTACAATGATCTTTCCTACAACAATATTCTCTGTACAATACATTTTTAGGGCCCAGCACAGGGTTCTCTCCCAATATTGGGGTTTGCTATGCCAGTGCTTTTCTCCAACCCATGGTCTGCAGACTGACAACAGCAGTCCACAACAATTTTTTGCTGGTCTGCAGGGAATTTTCTTCAGCATAATACATTTATCAAAAGTAGGAATGAAGTTTGTTATTGTTATCTGAAATCTTGGAAAGACAATGGCATTTGAAATTATCCAAAACATTCAAGTTGAATTTTCTCCTCATAATGCTTGAAAGACAAATTGTCCCCTGCTGAGATAAATTATTTCAATTTTTCATTCTGAGGAACCCTTTAGTCAAGCCTACCTTTAACATTTTTTGAAGACATTCCACTAAGGCTGTTTCATGGGCTCTTGACTTAATTATTGCAAAAAATAAAATTGTTAGATACCTGCCATAAAGCCTTTCAAACAAAACTTTTAAAGTCAGCAAAAAATTTGAAACTTTGCTGGTCCACAGAAAATGTTTTGGAAATTTGCTGGTGTGCAAAAAATTTCCTAGAAAATTTCCAGTCTGCAGTCCCAAGAATTCTGGGGAGCACTGCTCTATACAAAAAAATGCCATCAACAACAAATTGCTTCCAGATCCCTCACATTTTGTTGCGTATAGAACAAACTTAAATCTCATAACAACAGTCAAACTTCATAATATACAGTCAAATCTCATCATTAGGTAAAAATCAGAGGGAGCCACAAAACAATTTCACTTGGGGATTTTTCAAGTTGAGGAAACCAGCATTCTTACAGGAAGAAAAAACCACTGATGTGTGAGAATTGCTTCTACCTGAAATTTGACTTGCAGCTTTCTTGTATGCAGCTCTGTACAGTGAAATCTGCAAAAATTTCAGAAGAAATTGTTCCACAAAGTGAAATATATTTAAGAGGAAGGAATACAGCAAAATTGTGTTGATAATGAAATAGATAATAATTACACTGGATTCTGGCCATGATGCATTGTCACATAATATGCACATGCCCAGTTCAAGTCCAGAAATGGAAAAATGTGTCACTGAATAGGAACCATATAATGCAAAAATTAATGCATCACTAAAAGTCAAGTTGAAATTATTTTCAGCTAAAATTCAACTCTGTGGTTTTTTTTTCGATTTTAATTTGAAGAACCGCAGTCATTATATTAGGAGGCAATAAAATGCTGGTTACATTCCCGATATTTAAACAAAAAAGTTATAAAGGAGATCATTGATAATTCCTGGAATTGAGGAAGACAACAGTGAGAGAGAAACATGCAGCAAAAAGTCAACAGCACCCGGTGTTCCCAGGCGGTCTCCCATCCAAGTACTAACCGGGCCCAACGTTGCTTAACTGCCGTGATCGAACGAGAACGGGTGCATTCAACGTGGTATGGCCGTTGACAACAATAACAGTGAAACAGCACCCGGTGTTCCCAGGCGGTCTCCCATCCAAGTACTAACCGGGCCCAACGTTGCTTAACTGCCGTGATCGAACGAGAACGGGTGCTTTCAACGTGGTATGGCCGTTGACAACAATAACAGTGGAGACGCACTTAATAAATACCACAACAACTCTCCTGCACACACCTGAGTAAAATGATGAACTGGCATTTGTTCAGCCTTTCATGCTATACAATGTCAGTCAGCGCAACTTTTTTCAGTTTTCATGACTTATTCCTGGACACAACGACATTATTTAGCTCATTCAGTACATTTATCACTGCGGCACGCAAATAATAACATTGAGGAAACTGCATACGAGGTACACAGAACAATTAATGCAGCAGTACATTACAGTACTGTATATGTACTGATGTACGTTATGCATAAACAGGATCCCTTATTAAATTTCCAACTCAGAAAAATGTATAAAAATGTGGAAATGATTTTCAAGAATAATTTTCTTTTATGAATTATGAATTAAGATGACTTATAGAAACAATAAAAACTGTATACTGTATATATATATATATATATATATATATATATACGCTGTGCAAAATATAGATGAGTACTGTACTAAATAATAGCTTTTATTCATTTTCAAAAATATACCAAATTAATAGGTATTTAGTATTTTGTACTTTGACAAACAGCTTTTATGGTGGACAAGCACATCATATATACAGTATAAATATAAAATATCTGTAAAAAAAAATTTATAGTGTTCTGCATGGGGCACCAAAAATTATCTATTTATTCTCATACAAAAGGGGAATTCACTTGCAGCACTTGATGTATACTTCTTTAATACTGTATTTATCTTTTATAGTGATGTGATATATATCCACTCAACAATTCTGGGAAAAAAGTTTCTACTCAAGTTGTTTGATATTCACCTGACTTTTTTTTCAGAGGAAAAAGTGCATGGAGCATTTGAATACTGGTACAGGGTACAGCATATAAATAAAAGTTTGTTTTTGGGAATATTTCATGTTTTTATTCAAAATAGAATTATAGATTAACTGTATAACACTCTGGATCTGTGAAATTTAACTCATACGCCAATAACTTATGGGTTTGGCAAAGGCAGTATATCAGATGAACATGCATGGTTAATAAATCAGCTTACTTGAGGTCCTTGAAAATCAACTTTTGGGTAATTTTGAGCCTGCTGTGCATAGGGAGCTTGCTGAGGGTTGTAAGATGATGGATATGGTGTTTGTTGGCCATACTGCTGCTGCTGCTGAGAGTAAGAAGGAGGATAAGCGGGATACTGAGCTTGAGCTGGAGGCGGGCCTGGATAGCCAATTTTCCCAGGATCGGCCATGATTTCTGAAAAGAGCAGCCAAAATCACAAGGTCAACACAGAAGGAGCAAATAATGTGAGCCAATAGATTCAACATGAGTTCTGCAACTTATTATTAATTGAACCATCAAATCATTCCACAGTATAGAACTCCGTCTCGGTTAATCTGAAGTTTGAAACACGGCAGTAATAATGATCAGCTTTTTTTGAGAATAGCAAATAGCGAAAACGACATTTGAGCAATGAAGAAAATTTCCATGGATGTACCCAGCATTAAAGAAACATTCCCCAATAATGTTCATTGGTTCAATTAAGTACATTCCAGGCAAATTAATCAATCAGACATTCAGAAGCATGAATATTGTTACAACATATAGCTTGGGATGAGTAAAATCCCATGTTGAAGCAAAATTTAGGAATTTTGAGACCCAACTACGATCATATTATAATACGTTAGAAGAACCTTAAAAATATTTCCTATTAAAAAACATGATTTGAGGTCCCACACAGTTACAAAAATAACATATACTGTCTGCAGAAATCTTCCCATAATTTTTTTTTCAATTGACAAGGTAAGTCAACAGCCCAGATGTTTCTTGAGTATTTATTGATCAATGATGTACAGTAATTGATATCCATTAAAGAGTATTTGGTAACGGTTTCATACAGTATAAAAAACTGAAATTAATTCCTAATAACCATAACTTTTCATTCCACTTCATCTCTGTGTTTATGCCCAACAAATTTGTGTACATGTTCACATTCCTTAAAAATCCCAAATCTTAATGACAGAAAATTGCCTGGTATGTTCTGCCCTATTATTTCAAGAATATCTCCATCTTCCCTTCTTGTTTTATTTTCATATTGTATTCTCTATCAGGTTTAAGGGACAGAACATTGCAAGTATGTCTGTGAATTTTGACTTTGGGTTCAGTCTAGTAACGTGTATGTTCAAGTGGGTCTTTTACTGATTTTGCTATGGATGGGATAAAATAATAATTGCATAAGTAATATTTTCAGTGGTAAAGGATAAACTACTGTACCTAGAAAGAGTAAAATATATATTCGAGTGATGTACAGCGAAAGCAGTGAGTTTTATTTTTGCATAACACAAAAGTCCATTTACTCAAAAAATGATTCCCGCGATTCACATTCCTTTGTTACCCGAGGCAACCTTAAAAAAAAAAATTGGCCAACCAAAAACACAGTAAATACGAACCTAAAAACATCGACTGTCGCAAAATATTCCATTTAAGCGCGCGTATGGTAACGAATCGAATGCGGATTTTAAAAATTAGAGTACTCCACTGTACTCGCAATAATTCCCACCGGATCCTCGCCGGGAACGATTTTACATTTCAGAACAGTCGAAACTGCGGAAAGTGGGACGAAATGACGCCAAAAATTTACATCTCAGTGAGAAATACGTTGAAGAAATTCGCCGATCTTGGAGAGAAACTAGATTTTTTTTTTAAATGTAGGAACTGTTATCAATAGCACTTTCGTTCCAACATGAAATAATATTCCACACTTATTTTTGTTTTTCAGCCCAGAAACTAAATTTCTTGATTTTTAACAACATCGCGGTCGGAATGAACTCACTTCAACAGACCGAATGAAGGCCTTATCAGAATCCAACACGGTTTTCAAAAGTAATAATTTCGCTTTTTAAGTTCCTAGGCAGAGGGAAGTGCATAAATTTTATGGTTTCTGTTTTTAGCCTGTAAGGAAGCCTGTGTGAGTATATGTCATGAACTTATCTTAATGGTGACTAAAAAACTTGATCTAACTAGTCACAACAAAAAAACAATAAACGGAATGCAAGCAAACTCGATGCACAAACTAAATTAAGCATTGTTTAAGCTTCACCAAAATACCAACAAGGGCACGATGATAACTGGTGAAAAACGGATAATGATACTAGGGATTTCAACGAAGAGTACTCGTTAGCCTTTGATTCGAGATGGAACATAATTTCTTCAACAAATTAGCAAACGGAAGCAGAATTACGAACACTTGACATTATTCAAGTGATGGTATGAGACCGGAAACACTTTTTTTGCTTGGATTTCGGATGGAATAGATAATTAACACATAAACTGCAAATAATTTAAACTTTTCTGCAGATTAGCGCTACTCTTGTGTTCGGGTTCAAATTTCCGAATCTGTTTCAGTCTGTAGTTTCTTTTGTGCGTAAAGACATTCTCTAAGCCTTAAGGGGCTTTGTGATGCAGTACCAGTTACCTAGAACTGAACTAAGTAGGGTGCAAAAGTTAATGATGACTTTTTGCTCCATATTTGCAGTATGCCCAAGAAAATTTGCACGATGTCAACGTAGAGCGTGATGGCTCCGTAAACGTGCTCCTCGGGACTCAGTTCGATCCTTCGTCCTCCCATGATTTGCTGTACGTCGTACATCAAGTACTGAAATGAAAAACGAATATTAAATAGGCAATGCAATGGAATACACTCAGTCCCCGCATAATGAAAAATTCTGATCAAAAATCTCAGGGGGGAAATACATGACTCACATAATCAAATTTCTTTCAATTTTGTTTCGGACGAAATTTTCGGCTGGAAAAAACTTGGATTCTGGCAAGTTTTGAGCAAATACAGGTGAACCTCTATAAGTTGAATTTCTAGGGTTAAAAAAAAATTCCACTTGTGGAGGTTTTAGCTTAGAGAGGTTTACATTTTTTGAGATTTGGGGTAAAGGAAATAAATATTTTTGCTCCAAGGAAAATGTGAAATTATAGATGAGGATATTCTGGGCCTAAACTTGCTTCTCAATGAGTTTAAAGCTTGCTGAACTTGTAGGCAGGGGTTCATTTGTTCAATTAGTCCTTCACTTTATTTCAAAATGCATAAAACAATTTATTTCGTTGATTTTATCTTTCATATTTCAAGGAAATAATAACCAAAAGGCATTAGAAAATTCGACTTACAGAGGTTTGAGAGAAAAATATTTCGACTTAAGGTTTTCAATACATTGTTTCTTTGGGAATCCAGACAGGGACTTGAAAAAAATTCGAGTTAGGGAGGTATTCGTCTTAGGGAGGTTCGACTTAGCGAGGTTCCTTTGGAATTTTTCACAAATCCAGGAAAATAATGAAAGAAGGGTAAATTTCTGCCGTTTCTCGCTTCTAAAATTGATGAAATTTTGAAAGATAATACAGTAGCATGGAGTTGTCAGGAAAGCCTTAATTCAACACCAATCAATTGTAAATTGACAAATTTATGCAGAAAACTAAAAATAATCTGCTGTCATTGGCGAGTTTCTGAAAGAAATCACTGCAGATTCTCGTTATAAAGAATCCATGCTAACGACAAATTTGTTTTTCGGTATTTGTCCAAAAGCCACAATGTTATTTTATTCATGTTTTAACAAATTTTCGTTCATAACGAAGCCCTAACACTTCATTGTAAAAAGCTTCTACAGTAATGTATTCAATTTAAAATATAACCTTAAGGCAAAGCACGTTTGAAATTACGAAATTCCACATACTAAAACGCATCCAGGAAGAAATTAGTTCAAAAAAATTTTCTATTACAGAGCTGTCATGGAAAATTATTTGAAGAATTTTTAGCAGAGTACAGTTCTCTCGATGCATTCAAACCAAGTACCTACCAACCTGGCACTGTACAGTAAGTGTACAGTGCCAGGTGGGTTCAAAAGATTTACCCGTTCGGGTTCACTTTACCCGAATGGGTAAATCTTTTGAACCCACCTGAACTTGCAAATTCCGACTGTAAAAGGCATTTACCACTCTCAGGAAGTGCACCTTGAATACGTTTCTTTACTAAAAGACAATGAGGTCTATAATTGAAACCTAATCAAAGGCATTTAATGCGTCTCATTTCCCTCGACGTAAAGTCCTTGAGCAAGATTGACAACAATTTCTGAACAAAACCCAGCCACATTCGAAAAAAAAATAGCAATCTCACCATACAGAACAGCAGGGCGATTAATCCGCCGTAAACGACGGACATGACCCTGTGACTATCTCGATCCACAAAGAAAACCACCATGGTTATCAGGCCGAACACCAGGACAACCATGCTGGCGACAAATAAGAACATCCCGCAGCCCGTGACGTCGAACTTGGTGGTGATGGCGACGACAGTGACAAGGATCGTAACTCCGGCTGTGATGGCGACTGCCATGAGAACGATCTGGGTGTTATGCACGGATGAAATTGCCCCTGTCATGAAGGACATGGCCAACGTCTGGAAATTTTAGGGAAAATGGGTTCGTCAGGATACGAGATCTGTAGATACAGTATCACGAGGGTTACTTACGAATACAGCCAAGACTATCATGTTCGTCGGATATTTCCTTCTGACGCCCGGGCAGCACATCAACGCAATGTACGTTCCAAGAAACGTCACCCTAAGAGAAGACAAATTATAGTAAGCGGAATAAAGATTCACACCACGCAAAAATAGATCATCACAGTCTCGTAACAGGAAAAATCGTAACCGCAAAACATGAGATAAATCATGCAAATGCTTAGAGCTTTCGAGTCGGACAAAACGCGAAAACCTAGGTCTCTTACATCAAACGGTTAAACACGTATCATTCACAGAGTGCAAAACTCCGGAAAGGGAACTCTGACAGTATAAGATAAGCAAGCCTAAAAATTTAAATTTAATTGAACTTCCAATAGATTTCTTCTGAAAGAAGTATCATGAACTAAATTCATCAGGTATGAATTCCGCCTGAAGTACGATTTGCACATTTGAAAAAGATTTCCAGAAAAATACTCACAATGAGAGATAGTACGCCCACATATTTCCGTATAGCCATCTTTTCACTCCGGTTCTACGAATAAAAATATCGTATCAGAAAATCCAGAAGGTTGGAAGCGCTTTGAAAACCCATACATGAAGATAAAACACGCGATGAAAGCGAGTGTCGTCAAGAGCTGGACGCTGAGGATGCCGTAAACCTTGCGAACGAATGCTCGGCGAACTGCTTTTTCTCCAAAGGATGACCCAAACGCAGCCGGTCCAGGTTCAGTATCTTGATTCGCAGACCCCCCAGCCATGTATGTAGGGCCTCGGCTGACATCCTGAGCCTGCAACATTTTAGTAGGGAAGTGCAACTGGCTATTCAAGCAGAAACAATACGAAATGGTCACGGAAGGAAAGCACCCAGACGAACGGAAACAACGAAATAAAATTTTAATCCATCTCAGTACTTCTACAATATTTCACATTTTGGTGGACTTATGAAGATCAGTCTGAGTATGGACGGGTACGGATCAATCTAGATGGCCATGCTTTTGGGGAAAAAAGCATGAGCCCCCAAGACTCGTTTGATCCCGTTAATTAACTGACCGTTCATAATCCTTTCCAAGCAACACGAAGTATTAACTACCTGCACAACCGGAAAAGCAACTGGTGGAACCCCGAATGCTTGGGAATACGGAGCTTGTTGCGGATATGGAGATTGTTGCGGATACGGCATCTGCTGAGGATACGGCGCCTGTTGCCCATACGCAGAAGGTGCGAACCCCGGCTGAGGTGGTGCGAACCCACCCTGAGGAAGTGGGAATCCGCCCTGAGGAGGTGGGAATCCGCCCTGAGGCGGATAACCTGGTGGTCCGGGATAGCCCGATTTCGTCGGGTCGTACATGATTCCGTTCACGAATTTGTAGCGAACACACAACCTGAAAAATAAAAGAAATACGTACAAGTAACTGTAGACCTCTTCAAAGCGCGGATTAGCATGATTTCATCAGGTTATACATGATCATAGTCTACGAACTAGGATCAAAACATGTTGAATACGAGTACTGTATTCGATCAGTGACAAGAATATCTTGAATCACGGAGCACAAAGATTAAGAGGTGACCATGCTATTCACATATGTTTACGTAACACCCAGACGATAAATTCAGCACTGCCTTAAAATATATAATGTCCGATTCATACAGTTGGATCTTTATCTTGCTCATTAGTTTACGCACTCGGGAGAATCGGGACTGTCACGAGTAACTAACAATCATAATTGCACAGAGATGCTTTGTGAGGAAGTGTTACACGTAGAGCGCCACGAACAGCCACAAAGAACATTCCAGTTTGTAGCGAAAAATCTGCGCATGACCATAATCCGCCCAATTACCATAGCTGATTATTGCGAAACAATTTCTTACCTAAAAAAGTTGATACACTTTTACACTTTATACTACACACAGGAAACCTGCTGAATGTTTACGAAGATCAGCTCAAAGAACTGACAAGAATTGGGGAATTATTTCACAGATATAAGTGTAACAGTGATGTTATTCATTGAGATGTTCGCACACTCTCATCATGGAACTGACTGATCTATGTTTATTTAAAATACATGCATAGATTTCTAGGTGATTCCATTCAGTTAGTGCGTTGCATCACATTCTAACTTCGGTTATCATGAAATCTATACGGTTCGAAACAGAAATTGAACTCAACGTTTTAGAATGCTAATTCTAGATGTCGCAGCCCTAAGCTGCTAATGTGTTCCTTCATATTCGTTTCACAATACATGTACGGTAGTAACTGATGCTTTGCTCTCTCTTAGTTGTAGTTTATGAATGCGGTACGAAATCCAACAACAGCTTTAGAAAATAGAAAAGGAACACAGCGATAATCAAGCATCTAAATCCATTCAGAAAACCTTTTCAACTCATCTAATTTGCATGAACCTTATTGCCCAAAGAAATAAAGCGTCCGATGTGAATTTTCGTGAATTCGGCTTGAATCAGTCTGATAAATGCCAGCATTTTTTGTTACTTCGTTGTATACAAACTTACTGTCTTAATGTTGCTAAACTTTTTGCAAGATTCATCGTATCATAATTAAACTGGATTTGAGAATTGAGATTTGAGATTTCTTTCCAGCTGACTTTCACACATTTTTCATCTATAGGCATTTTTACTTCAGTGCAGTATGTGAGCTATTTTTTCATAACCATGTGAATAAATATGCAATCATTTACGTAATCTAATATTTTGGCATTTAAACTAATATTAAAGTATATTTAAGTATATTAATCAAGCGTACCTACTATACTCGACCTGTGAATTGCTCAGATGTTTGGCAGATCAGTTTTAGCTAATAGGAGGAATATGTGATGCTCAAAAGCGATGCTGATCGACCTTATTTATAGCTCTACATTGCATTTTCGCACAATTCACAGAAAAAATTACACAATGCAGTACAATAATACATCATAAGTTTGTGGCATTTCTAAGACGTTGAAAAAACCGAAATTTTTATTTGGAAAATGGTTCTTATTGGTGAATTTCTGGCAGTAAGATTAAACCAGCAAAAGGACCATTTCCATTTGAATCACTGTACGTCAATTTACTTGATCCCGAACGAGGCAATCAATGTCTATTATTTTTTTAAAGGCAGGGCGCGAGGCAGTGGCTTTTTCATAATTTCTCATAAATATACTGTACGTTCAAGTACTGTTTCACAGAAGTTATCAATATTTTATCATCTCAATTATCCCAAATAAGAAACTAAATATTCGAATTTCATGCTTACAAAAATCCATTTATTCTCACAACTGAATAGGACTCATGCAGCTCCAAAAGCTACATCCATCGATCTACCGAACATCATGTAATAATATAATATAGTCAGCACGAAAATGTCATAAGCTGCTATACTGCATGATTTCTGTGCATGAAATATCCATCATCATCTGCAGTTCACTAAAATGCGTACACAACGACATTGTACAGTATATATATACACGGCAACATCGTATAGATACTGTAATTTGCCTCGACTTTGAGGAAGTACAGTACAGTATACATAAAAGAAAGCAGTTTCAGTCCTTGGTTCATTGGTTCTGTGGAATAATGCGGTGCAGCAACTGAAGTGCATAATTCTTCAGAAACCCCGGCGTTGACTCCATCATGGGATCTTCCCTTTAGATCCCTTTAATTTTTGCATTTTGAAATAATCCTTTTTTTGCTGTTGCAATACTACGCGTAAATTTGATGAAATAGCGTAAATGTGCAAACAGTTTCATTCCGGCAAACCCACTGTTGGCTTCACGCTGTCGGCAGAGCTCGCCGATGATGACCCCGACTCTACACGTAGTGAGAGCAGTGATAACAGAAGGAGCAGTAGCGCCGAGGGCCTAAGGCACGGAAGTAACATAGGGTTTGAACTGTGTAGTAGTCGTAAGTACAGAAGTATTTCGACCAAGTTAACAAGATCGACCAGAATTGGCTGCACGTCATCAGGGGAGAAAAATGTTTGAGCATGAATTAATAAATTAATTCTTCAGTAAAATCTTTTTTTCAACAAAAACTAGCTGCTGCATCAACAATAAATTTTTCAGTACATACATCATTTTTCTTGAGTCTCAGCAGAAATTATAAATTACATTGGTGAGCTTGTAAATTCCCAGCGAATTCTTCGATTTTCAATTATTTTTGTTGCAGAATATTTTTTTCAGAAATGGATTACTTTGTTCATCATAATGGGACCCCATGGAAAACTTGATTTTACAAAACTGATTTGCCAGAAGACATTGTCCCAGGAATGGATTGTGGTTTTTGTGCAATGGTTCACTGTATAACAAAGTTTTTCTCAAGTTCCAGCAGAAATCCAACTGAGTATAAATCTTGAAAAAAACTCATTATAACAATCCCCTACAACTCAGATAGCAACACGTTGCACACCAACAACTTGCACCCCGCAACAACTGGGATAGCAACAACTTGCACAGTGCAACAACTTGAACACTTTTTTCACTTTTTTTTGCATATAATTTCCCATTTATTCTTTGCAGATTGTTCCTTGTCTGGGGGGAGTTTGAATGTATGTTAATTCCTTATATAAGGACAGTCAGAGGGAGCCCTTCTGTTTCAATTCACGTGAAAGTGGTGTCAAGGTATTCACTTTCAAAATCCTTGCCCATTTTAATTTCAGAAATCCAAAGGCTTTTACCTCCTCTGAGTGCCATTTGGAGGATATAAAATACTCCATAGCTAAGTTAGTCAAATGATTATATCCCTGAGGATAACTGAAGAAGTGATGTTGGTATTTTATATCCTCTGAATAGGTGGTATTTTATTTCCTCTGGATGGTATTCAGGCTCCCTGACTGTCCTTCCCATCCTCCCAGAGTGAAGAGATTGGTGAAGAGATGGAAGGCATGATTGAATCTAAAATTTTTTCAGAAGATCACTCAGTTTTTCAAACAATGATAAAAAATCTGAAAATGCCAGAAAATTAAGATTTAATTGATTATATAGGGTGGTCTGATAATGATGAGAAAATGATTTCCAGCAGCCATTAATTTTGAAAACCTCATTATACAGGTGAACCTTGATAAGTCAAACCTCTGTAAGTTGAATTCCTCCCTAAGTCAAATTTTTTTCAAGTCCCTGTCCAAATTCCCTTAAAATCAATACATTAAATACCTCCCTAACTCGAATTCTTTTTATCTAAAACCTCTGTAAGTCGAATTTTCTGAGGCCTTCTGGTTATTATTTCTGTGAAATATGAGAGAGAAAATGATTAACGCATCATGCCCACGGTCATCGTGTTCGTCGACCGAAGGACGCCGCCCCTGCTGGCTTCCCGACGACCAGAGGCGACCAGAGTCGCCGCTCCAAGCGGCTCAAAGAGCGGCCTTCGGCGTCGGCCCTTCAAGAGTCACCCAGGTATGTGCGCCTTATGTTGAAAGGGGAAATACAGCACGACCACGGTTTTTTTTTATTTGAAAATAAAATGAGAAACACGAGGTCACTGAATAAATCCTAGATTTTTTTTTCATTAGAATTAGTTATGATCTAAATCATGCCCTAAATTTATTTTATTGCGAGTCTCGTGTGTCGATAATTTATTGGTTGAGAAGGTTTTTCGGATTCTTTGCTCATTTCGAGTGGTTTTTTCATTGATCTTTTGTCCGATGAAATCCATCTCCAATTTTTTTTTTCTGTTTCGGATATGTGTCTTATGCTCTATTGATTTATGCGATGAGCTTGTGATTAAGTTTTTGGCCCGGAAAGAACCGAGGTCAGATTGAAAAATTTTTCCAATTGCCTGTATTACGAATGAGTCATTTTTCGCAAGACCCGGAATTTCGGAATCGATCCTCGTGAAATTTTAAAATTAGCTTTTTTGATGAATTTGTGGTAAGATCTTTTGATTAGATTCAGTTCGTCTAAAGTACTGGCATTTCCACGTCATCAGATTTTGAGAAAATTTTTCCATTGATTTATGCAATGAGGTGATCGATATTTTCATCAGAAAACCACCGGGGTCAAATTTAAAACCTTTTTAAATTATTACGAGTGAGTCATTTTCGCAAGACCCGGGATTTTTCAATCCAGCCTCGTGTAATTTTCAAATGATTTTTTTTATGAATCGTTGGGTATATCTTTTGATTAGATTCAATTTGCCTACAGTACTAAAATTTCAATTCATCTACAGTACTAGAAATTTCCCCGTCATCATATTTTGAGCATCATGTGCCATTGATTTACGCAATGAGGTGATCGATATTTTGATCCGATGGGGAGAACCAGGGTCAAATTGAAAGTAATTGGAATTAATACGAATGGGTCATTTGCGTGAGACCCGGATCCGGCCTCTTCTCATTTTCACGTGGTTTGTTCAAAAATATTGCTTGGATAATTTTTAATATTAACTTAAATTAAAGAATAAATTATAGATATAATTATAGATTATATTTACTTTTGATTATACAGTGAATCTCGATAAGTCGAACCTCTGTAAGTCGAATTTCTCCCTGCATCGAATTTTTTTCAAGTCCCTGTCCAAATTCCCTTAAAATCAATACATTAAAAACCTCCCTGACTCGAATTATTTTTTTCTAAAACCTCTGTAAGTCGAATTTTCTGAGGCCTTCTGGTTATCATTTCTGTGAAATATGAGAGAGAAAATGATTAAAACATATAATTTGATGCATCTTGGAAGGAATTGAAAGAAAAATATAGCAAATGAACCCCTGCCTCCAAGTTCAGGACAGTAAAAACTCATCAAGAGGCAAGTTTAGGCCTAGGATCACCTCATTTACTATTTCCTGCAATTTTTTTACTAATCCTCACAGCACAAATTATTTTTCCGTAATTCAAAACCTGAAAAAATCAAAACTAAGTCAAAATAACCTTCCTAAGTCGAATTTTTTTCCTGGTCCCTATAGAAATTCGACTTACACAGAGGTTCAACAAGTTATTCAGTATAAAAGAATTCCTGAAGTCCTCAAAACTTTTTTTTAGCGCGATTTTACTGCATATATAAACGCGTTGAATAAGGATAGATGGGCATATATAGCAACCTGTTGCATCGAGTCAAGGGCTTCTCTGTCGTGCCGCAAAACATCATTCATCGTTTCCACAGGCATGGTGTACTGGAATGCAGTACTCTCGTCGAATTCGACTCCTTCCATCCAAGGAGGCAAGTTGGTCCTCTTGCGCTTCATCACCGAGCCCGATGATGACCCACTGGACAGGTATTTGGATTCAACACTGGACCCATCGCTCAAAGAAAACGAGTAGGTGTCTTCATTCGAATCCGGCATTATTTCTTTGCTCCGCGCGAGACTATTAGCAGGAGCATCATTATTATTTCTCGACATCAGTCGCACATTTCGCTTGTGTGTTGGCGACTTGTAATTGAGTGCTGATGGTGGCATCATCATGTCCTCGTTGCGAAACGACGAAGACCCCGGAAGAGCAACTGAGTCGCTCAGCAGGCGACATCTTGGGGCCGGTGGAGACCTTATGATTCTGCTGCTGCTGTGCATGCCGCCGCACTGGTGCTGCTTGCAGCTGGGACACTCTCCGTCTGCCTTGTCTGAATTATAAAAAAAGAACACACACACATTGCGTGACGAATTAAATGTATTCCTCAAGTGGGATACCCTGAGATGAGGAAGCAATTGCTGGTGCTTGGACCAATTGTCCCTATGTTAGATTGTCTACATCATGTCAGATCACATTTTCCCCATGGACTTCAATGCAAATACTGTACAGCATATTTAATGGGTTCTCCTGTTCATTAAAAATCAGGATGCAAAAGTCCCTCAAAAATTGAATAAAAAGGTTTTCCCTCAACTTAAAGGTGCAGAGGAAAACTGGGGAGAAGAAAACCACATGAAAAATGATTTTTTTCATCAAAAGGAGCTCAAAAAGCAAAGAAGAAGAATAAGTCTTGCTATACTGCATATGCACAGAGAATTAAAAAAGAACTTTGAAGAAGAAGCACAAAATCAGCCCATTGCAGATTAGGATATCAGAATAAATGTACTGCATCATGAAATTATTTTTCAATTTTTGTGAATTTAAATAGCTCTCTTTGTTCAAGAGATATCAAAATTTCAAAATTTTTATTTCTTTGGAAAATGTTGGTGAAGTATCCCACATATCCTCAGACTTTGTGCAGATGTAAGGGTAAATTTTTTGGAGTTTCAATAAGTATTCCCTAGTCAAATCGTCCGTATTTCGGGGGCATCCGCATGTTGGGGTCTCACTGCATATACAAATTGAATGTTGTGCAACAGCATACCTTCTCTGCTCCTCAGCAATTCTTCTGGGTCATCATCAGAATCCTTTGGGAATTGCAAGGGTGATGGAGCACCACTTTCCTTTCCAGAGCCCGGCTCAGCTTTCAAAGAAGTTGTGTGAGATCCTTCCATAGGTATGTCAGGCAGTGATGACTGCAATTAAGAAAATACCAAGTAAAGTATTTCACAAACTCAAGCGCAACATACTGTATATTTATGATAAGCAGCATAAGCAAAAAAGTATAATTTCGACTTTTCGGACAAGAAATTCATCTTTGACTTAAATAAGGTATAATATGTAGCAGCAATATTGTTATACCCCATCCCAGAGATAAAAAAAATTATCCTCACTATATACTGTACATTCATGAACAGTCCTATTGAAATTCCAAGTCTGCCTTGAAAATTTTTTTTATGAGAAATACACTGCATAAGAGTTTCAAATTTCAATCCATGCGATTTTTGGAACAGAAAATTCATGTTTCACTTAAGCAAATTATACTTGAATGAATGAATGAATGAATGAAAAGAACACTTCATTTGCCGCTTTTCAGCATTCACAAGACACAACCAAGACTCCCGCATCCAAACCCCCTCCCCACTCAACGCAACCCAAATTATACTTGATGAGAAAAATATTTAGCAGCAATATAATTCTTCCTGCAAAAGATTTTTATAAATTACTTTCGCTATGTTGATGAATGAAGTCATAAATACTGCTATTTCAACAGCAGCATTTGCCACACATACTCTGCAAGCTTTACATGAATGAATGCATGAACAGAACACTTTATTTGTTGCTTTTCAGCAATCACAAGGTTCAATCAAGATTTCCACAACCAAACCCCCTTCCCAACCAACCCAAATCCACTCAATGACATTGAATCACTTCAGCTTTACATTTACAACATGGTATATTCATTTGTAACATAGGTTGGCATTCTTTTGTAACTCAACATGCCATTAGTTTGCAATATATAAACTCACCTGATGAGGCATGCAGCTTGGCAAGGCATCTGAGTGAACCCCAAGTGTCCGCAAGTTCATCTGGCCTGCCATTGTCTGCTGCACAGGGGAATGCACAGCAATGCTGGGATCAGATTGGTTGCCCCACAATCCAGGTACAAGAGTAACCACAGCCTGGTTTGCAGGAACACCGTACACTTGAGGAACTATATATACATTCGAGATGACATATTCAAAAGAATATTTAGCACGTTTCAAAATATAATTCAACAGTTCATCGCCGAGTTACATACTTCGCAAAGTTGCAGGTTGGAGCTTCAGAGGAGCAGCCATAGCTTGTTGAATCGGCAAGGTAACCCGCGGAGTAGCGTATGCAGTTGGAACTTGAGGAATCCTAAAATTTAAAAATCCGGACATTCTTCAGGGATGCTTTGCAGTACATACATGAATAATAATGTACAGTGAGACCCCCATGTGCGGATGCCTCAACCTGCAGACAATTCGACATAGGGACACTTATTTTCCCAGAAAAGAATCAATAAATAAGGTCCAACATGAGGACACTGACTCAACATGGGGACATTTTGTTATAAAATTGCAAATACATTTCAGGCCAAATTACAAGAAACAGAATATGGGAAAACAAGACTCAACTTAGGGACATTTTGACTTGGGGACACTCTTGATGCACCAATTACGTTCGCATCTCGGGATCTCACTGTACTCTATTATTGTGTTACTACATATATTGTATTACTTACTCGAAAACTTGATTTCTCGTCTGATAGTAGCTCATGTTGCCCGGGTGGAAGTTTTCCTCCATTCTCCTAGTGCTGGCATCCATAACATTATGGTACGGCCGTTTCGGGTTGCCTTGTCCAAATCTACCCATGGAACCATGGTCTTCAGCATGAGGACGTTTCAAGCCTCTGTGATGCCGCCAATTCAAGTCCTGAAGATGAATTCATGAAATATGAGTACAGTAAAATATATTCAAACCTTGATTTAATGCCGTCATTTCTTATATACCATATTTACTCCAGTACCCCGCGCCCTCAAGTAACAGGGGTTTTTCAGTTCAAAATTTGGCTAAAATTGTATCCCCGAGCAAGACGCGCACCCCATTTTTAGGGACTCTAAAACCACAAAATTTTGAAAATAATAACAAAACAATTTGACTTTTGATGTGAATTGAACATGAATCTGATCAATTTTCAAATTTTTCAGTAAAAAAGTTTTCTAGGTACATTTGTCACAAATTTCTCCATTATAATCAAGCATAATTAACACACAACTTCCTAAAACTTCTTGCAAATTTTGTACCCGCTTATGACACGCACCCCTTTTTTTCTTCTGAAATTTGAGAAAAAGGTGCGTATGGTACTCAAGTAAATATGGTAGTACATTTTGTAGCATATTTGAATAAGCAAATAGGGGGGGGGGGAGTAAAGGGCACAAGGTATGAAAGGAAGTTATATAGTAGAGGGTTTCTTATATATAGACAAACAAGCTTTTTGACAGGATTGCTAGGCCACTTATTAAAATCCTGAAAAGCCCTTTTCCACTTCATTTATCCAGTAAAATCTCATTGCAACAAACATTTGGGGGAATTTGGTTAAAATTTGCTTCACTGAATAATTTGTTATGCAATTTTCAAATTTCATGACAGCTGGAGAAAATTTTTCATCAGACATAATCAATTAGATCTTGCTTTTCTGGAATTCTCAGATTTTTCCATTACTGTTTTAAAAACAGAGTGATCTTGAAAAAATCAGCTTCAATCATTTTCATGCTTTATTCTAACAGTGGCCCCAATCTTCATTCTTCTGAGAGGATGATGCATGGAACCACTCAGAAGCCTGTTTGTCATTTATTAAAGGTTCCATCCATGCTACAAGAACCACCAGTCAGCCAAATTTTGGATCAGAAATTTTAGACTGTGTCTGCCTGTATCAAGAAAATTTCTACCAGGAGAACCTATTAAACATTCTTCAAAAAAGTATGTTGGAATTTAATAGTTACAATTGAATACAATACAATGGAATTTAAAAGTTTGTCATGAGATTCTTTCAACGTGTATTTTATGGGCTTTCTGTTGGGACTTGAGGAAAAGTTTGTTGCTGAATGCTGAACAGCATTTTTTCTAACAACATTTTAGTGCATTAGAATTTGCAATGAAGGAAGGTGTCATGCACCAATAAAAATTTTCTTCACAGCTAATCAAGAAATATAATCTTTCAAAATTATCCTGACATGTTACAAGGGCATGGAAATGTGACTTGGTAATAAGCTAATAACCCAATGATATCCCCTAGAAAGGGCTGTTAATTTCTTTGTTGTTGTCCCATTTTCCAGCCAGGACAAATAAAATTCCTTGCTGCACTAACTTTGGGCGTTTTTTTTTTTTTTTTTTTTTTTTTTTTTTTTTTTTTTTTTTTTNCCTTGTTGAACTATTTTTGGTTTTTTTTTTTTTTTTTTTTTTTTTTTTCAAAGAGGGCATTAGACATCAGAGATTCCTTCCATGGAAATTTTTGGTTCTCAATTGAGGGTTCACTGCACATATCCCGCGTGAAACTACAAGTGTTTGTCCTCACGTGGCTCGTCTGCTTGGAAGTAGATGGCTTGGAATGCAGCATGTGATGCGGAATACTCTGCGGCAAATTAATCCCGGATGGTTTCGGTACCAGGTGCCCCTGCTGCTGATGAAACTGACGCCCCTGCTGCTGGTTATACTGATGCCTCATGTACGCCTGCGACACGCGGTCAATGAGGTCGTCCATCGAATCTATATCGTGCGTAATGGCGAGTCTGTTGCCAGCGACCACCGCCGCCGTCGCCGCGGAAATAATTTGCACGGCAGCCCGCGGCGCCACTGCTGATGGCATTCTGCGCGCAGTTTTCGGCCTCACGGGCCTGTGCTGCTTCACAAACAACTTGCTTTCCATTTTCGTGTGCTTCTGCAACGTTTCCTGCGTCAGACAGGTCTTATGCTTCGGCGGCTGCTGAGCACTGACGTGTTGGATTACACGCTGCACAGCCGGGGTTTGATGACGCGTGGTCGAAGCTGCTGCTGCTGCTGAGGTTGATGGCTGTTGCAGAGGATTTACTACCGGTGATGCTGCTACACACTGCTGATGGGGAACTTGTCGGAATTTTCGACACCGGTTGGTTCTTTCTGCCGGGGGTTTATCCACGACGACGGCTGCTGATGATGGTGACACGATGGGGATGTGATGGGGCTGGTGTCTTTCTGAATGATCGGACGAGTGGTTCATCTTCTGCATGCTGCGCTGCAGGGAATTCTTGCTGACGCTGGTGCCCATTTCCATGATCTCGTTGGACGATGACACGTGGCTCACGTTGTTGGAGGAGCTCTCGTTGTTGCTGTTCTTCTTCGAGCTGTTCGATCAGAAATTATTCGTGTTCACTCAATAACAAATCGCATCTATGTCCGCATAAAGATATTGAATGAAAATCTCATAGGGGTGGTCTGTATATACGAGGGTTATAACAAAAGTTCTCGGAGTAGCAATGAAAATGGCCTACAGTTGAGCTGAATTTTTTTTTTCTTTACGGAAAACATATTCTTTGGCACACAAAAAATATCAGCCCTGTTTGACAATTTAAAAAAAATTTCATAATTCACCATAGCACAGTTTTGCTCTCCACTCAAAAGATGAGGCGCCTTTTTTTGTTCTACCCCAGCTTTCTCCTCAGAATTTTTAAAATCAGCTTGGCATTCTTTCTAAGGGTTGCCTCCAGGTCATCCAAGGCAATCCCGCCATTTTCATCAAAAGCCGCCTTCACAGCTGCCACATTGGCCGCCACTTTGGCGGCTGTGAAGGCGGCTGTTGATGAAAATGGCAGAATTGCCTTGAATGACCTGGAGGCAACCCTTGGAAAGAATGCCAAGTTGATTTCAAAAATTCTGAGGAGAAAGCTGGGGTAGAACAAAAAAAGTCGCCTCATCTTTTGAGTGGAGAGCAAAACTGTGCTATGGTGAATTATGAAAAAAATTTCTAAAAAAATTGTCAAACAGGGCTGATATTTTTTTGTGTGCCAAAGAATATGTTTTCCGTAAGGAATAAATTTGTTTCAGTTCAATTTTAAGCCATTTTCATTGCTACTCTGAGAACTTTTGTTAGAACCCTTGTATACTCAAGCTTTGATCAATGATGATCTACTATATGATCTAGAATAGTGTTCCCCAACCTACCTTGCTCATGGAATGGCAAATTTCAATAAAAATTTTTGCAGACCGGCAAATTGTCATGACATTTTCTGCAGACCAGCAAGGTTCTATACATTTTTTGATGACCAGGAACATTTTTCAAATAACTGCCATAAGTCCTCAAAATAAACCTTGAACTGCAAAAATTAAGTAAAGAACCAATCAGCAGCAATACATTGGAATGTCTTTGACAAAAAAAGAAAGCTAAGCTTCAAGAGAGGCTTCTCAGATTTAAAACTGAAAATAATATATTTCAGACAGGTGGCATGTCTGAAGGGTGAAGTGTACTAAGAAGAAAAGCTAATTTTTGATTTATCTTAGATAATTTCAACTGCCATTTTTCCCAGAAATTTTGGATAATTAAGGATAACAGGCTTCATCACTACCTTCTATAAATTTATCAAGCTAAAGAAATTTTCCCAAAGACTGGCAAACAAGTCTGCAGACCACATATAGTTGGGGAACAATGATCTGCATTGATTTAAGGAATTTGTTCACCCTCTTGAAGGTAGCATGAAGTGTGATGTTTAAATTACTGGCCCTGCACCTCATTCATCCCTGAAAACAGCTCTTGAGAATGGAAACGTTGGGGAAGAATTTGCCTGACACCTTTTTTGTTGTTGAAAGTTTTCATTCAAATGATTCTTGTGACCACACCACACTGTGGCACTTGGGACCATAAAAATATGTACCATTCAAAAGGGCTCCCTTTTGGCATTTTTTTCATTGCCAGTACAGCTTAATTTATTACTCAGCTATTGTGAGTTGAAAATTGGCTCACTTCTTCTGACCCACCCTGTACAATTTGTGCCAGAAAAAAAGTTTAATTTCTAAAACTTTCACATGCATGCAGTACACATGAAGGCTTTATTTTCCCATTTTAATTCAGGGTGCTTATGTTTGCTTGCTCATCTGTCCAAAAGCCAAGTATGGTTTAAAAATGACCATGATGTGAGTAAGGTATGCATGTGTAACCTAAGCAATTCAACCTCCTGCAAGTCCACCATTAATTTGACAGTCAAATTTTTAATGAGGTTGTCTTGCAATTTGACCTCTGCCCTGGAATTCAACCTACCCAAGTGGGGAAATTGGTGCACACTGGGGATTTGTTTGTAATTCTACACAGTGACCCTGCTGTGCACCATTTGTGCACCAAGTGTAACCCTGGAATGGTAGAAAAATTTCCTCCACAGGAGTGCACACTTGTAACCCCAGAATATCCCATATGCACCAGTTGTGACCCTGGTGTGCACGAACTGTGGGGCCACAGCAAAAATAGCTCCCCACTCCGGCTGCTTTGGCCACTTTTTTTTTTTGCTGATATTTCTCAATTTTATGAAGTGTCTCACAAAGCAACTACTTCGCAATTTGAGCCTAGTCCAACAACAGATTAGGGTCAAATTGCGAGGTATACCACCCGTAGTATTTTCTAACTCTCTCCCTATAATAAACTCTCTCATAGGACAAAAACCCATGCGTGGCTGGTGATTTTTCTTACTGGATGTTGGAAACAGAATCCATGGCATTAACTTCCTCATCCGTCGAAAGCGCATTTGATTCAAAGGGTACGTGTTTTAGTCGGTTCACGCTGTTGTTTCTGGAAGGATCCTCCGTCGTACCTCCTGCTTTCTGCTGGCTCTGGAAAAACCTGTTCGAAAATGGTTCGTACAATTAGCACATCACGTCTGTGCATGAAAAAAGAAATCGAAAAGGTTCACCTCAAAATGCTTTCCCGATAATTCAGCTGATTATAAGTGGTTGTGCTTGAGCCAGAAGTGTTGCTTCTGGATCCTTCCTGCTCTTCATGCAACGGAGAAACGTGTCCCGTCAAAACAGATTCTTGCGGCTACAAGCAAAAAAAAAAAGAAGATATACTTTGTGCGAAATACAAACAAATCACAAGGTTTTTCTTTTATTACAGAAGAGCTATTGCAGCGATCAGGTCCACTGTTGTCAGCTTTCTTTTCCTCCGCTGGAGGCATGACATTATTGTTGACACGAGTAATTTCCTTCCGGAAATTGTTTTGATCCGTCGCAGCGGAAGTGCCCTTCTGATCCAACCGCAGTGACTTTAAAATTGGCAGAAGAAAAAAAAACTGATGGTGATGCTGTAAATTAGCTTCATTTCTTTCAAAGTTTCACCTTGCTCAATAAAGCCAGAATTTCTTCTTGCAGCGTCGATGTTTCTTGCAGCACTTCATCAGAAAGTAAAGCGTCCGTCTCTTTTGGGATCAGAAAAACGTTGGAATTTGATGGAGTCTGGGGGGGGGGGGGGGGATAAGATAAAAAGGATGGCATCAGGGATGTCCGCGTTAAAAAACGTTGACTGATTTTCCGTACCTCGACAACCCTGTGTTGCCCAATGACGAATTCCAGCCTGTAAGTCCAAGGATTGACGAAACAAGACCAATCCGTGCTGAGTACCAAGTAGCAGCCATTATGAGCTCTGAACCGAGATCGTGCACCCGAACAAGTTGCACCAGCTCTTTGCAAAACTATATACAATCAATAGAAAGAAAAAATTAGCTATACATTCACAAACACAAAATGAGAAAATCAGCGAATCTTATAATTACCGCTCTCGAAGTCTTTCTTGAGGTAGCTTAAATCTTCCGGGTGGTAATATTCGAAGATAGAATTACCAATCAGATCCTGAGGTAGGTACCCGAGATACGGTATAGCAGCCGGGTCAACGTGACTCAAGTGGCAGCTTGATGTGTGGCGAGTCCCAAAGGAGCCAACTGGATCTTTCCCTTCTTTAAAATTGGATGCAAATTCACAAAAATCAGCTTCATGCTCTCCATGAAAACCATAATAACTATGTACAGTATGCATTTACAGTAAGTATACCATATGTTCCCTCAAGTAAGACATACACCAAGGCTTCTAACTTCAGTCAAAAAATTTAGATAAAATAGTATCTCTTTGCAAGATGCACACTTCATTTTAGTGTCTCTAAAACAATAATAATTCAAAAACAATAACATGACCCATATTTTAACTGAGACATGATTCTTACCTGAATTCAACTAATTTCGAATTGTTTCCATAAACATACATTTTTCTGTTTAAACTTGGTCCAAGATTTCCTAATTAGAATCAAGTTTAATATGCACACCTAAATTTCTAAAACTTTCCCAAAAACTGTGAACCTGTTTATGATGTACAGCCCACTCTTTCTCTTGAATTTGAGAAAAATGTGTATGTGGTACTCAAGTATATATTATATATGCAAGTAATGTACCATGCATCACCCTCCATCAGTATTAGACATTCACCACAATTTTTGAGTAAGAAATTTGCCCAGAAACCTATATTCCTCTTTAAGATTCACACTCCATTTGTTTGCTACTGCTGAAAATCAAGAATTTCAACTTTTTGAGTGGATCTATTTTTAAAATTGATATTTTGTCTTTCCTGTATTTCTTTACTTGTCTGCAGGAGTAGTTATAATATGCATCAAATATACATGACAACTTTGTTGCTTGATTAGATGAATATTTTCATCTTCCTGTTGCATCTCCAACTGATATGTATTCCAAAAAATTTTATTGCTTGAACCATTATTTCCCATGGACACAGAGACATAGCACCACACATTTCCTCTTCATTTTGCTGTTGCTCAGATGAACGTTATGTGTGAGGAGTACTGGTCTGGGATTTTTCTTTAAAATGTATCCCCAGTAATTTTGTGTACCATATTATTCCACCTCGATTTATGCAAAAAAAATTGCACATGCTACTTGAGTGAATACCGTAAGGTCCAAAACATTCACCTTCATAAGCACTTCTAATTGGGACTAGCTTCAGCAGGGTATAATACTCAGGCTCCTCCATGGAAGCATCCTTGCCAGGCTCTGGTTCGGGCTTCACAACCTGGAAAATTTTCAGTACTGGGGGATGAGTTGGGAAAAATAAATTGGATTCCTTTATTTCTCTCACCTTAATTTGCATAGTTCCATGGAACGGCTTATAAACGGTTCGTTTGGTTTTGACATCAAACCCAGCAATGTCCAAGCTCTTGAATCCCCTCACGCGGATATAAAACGTGCAGCTTTCGGGAGACGATTTTCCTGTTGCAAACATTTTTCGAAAAATATGATGACTTCATTCTTCCCAAATCATGAGATTGACAAACAAAATTAATGGAAAGATGATCGGAGGCACAAGGGAATCAAGAAACAATGCTGAAATGAATTGACCAACCTTCGCCCAAAGCTCGCATGATGGACGTAATCTCCGAGGTGAACGTGAAACGATCGCGGGGATAGATGTAGTCAAGAAATGACCTGGAGCAAAGCATTTGCTCGGAAAATCCAAGGGTATCTTTGGTAGTCGGGGAAGCATGAACGACACACATAGTTTGCAGGGATACCAGCAAAGAACATCCATCCTGAAATCAGCGTGGTTCCGTATAGAAAAACATTCTTATTTCAGAAGAAAAAATGTTTCCAGCACAAACCTCCGATGACGCGCTGGACGGGATTGAATCTTCAACGACAGGTGCGTTGGCTATCATTAACACGAATGTTCATCAATATTAGCATACATCTCTTATGTAATATTTAGCACACGCAGTTTCACGTATAGTCACCTTTCGTTTTAGCAGAATTGCTTTTGAAAAAGTCCTGAGCAGCGAGGTTCTTCAAGCACTTCAGAGCCAACTGTGCGGCTCGGACGATTTCGGAGGCATCGGCATGGAGTTCAGCGTCATCCACGGGGATTTTCGAAGGATCGTGATTTATCATTTTGTCTGGAATCGTTGGCGAGTCGCCTTCTTTCGTTCCTGCCCCGGAACTGCGATTTAAATGAAATCAACTTTGTATTGAGTTTATTGATGATAGCTACACTCCACATTACCTGCATGCTGTTCCCAGATGATCAGATCCCGAACTCCCCGTTCCGCTTCGCGAGCAGTTGTCGGCAGAGTTACTGCTATTTTCGGCACTGGAAAAAGGATCAGGTCAATGCCGACCGATAACTATAATGTCATCGTAAAATTAGTACCTTTTGCTCTGGCAAGTACCACCGTATCCAGAATCTGCGAGAGCTGAGACAGCTTTGCTCTGGTCGTCTTCTCCCTCCATCTCACTAGAGGATTCAACTCGAAATCAACTTGCTCTGGAAATTTCTTTTGGTGCCTCTCAACTGAATCAATGGGATTCACTTTTTTCAAGCTCACCTGAATCACAAACGTCGCTTCAGTAAAAATGTCAGGTATACTGAATTTGTCACATTTCGTGCTTGAGATGAGCACACAGTACATCCGAGTATCAGTTCTTCCCTGTCCCAGTTTCATTCAGTGAATGACACAGCAAAAACTTATTCCGTATCATCGCAAGGATCTAGCAGAATCACCGAATTTCTTCATATTTGAACTCGACGATTTCTACAAATTTTTCGGAGGGTCAAATTATTTTGCTCATATGTTAAATTATATAAATGAATGAAAGACCGACGAATTATAAAATAAGGCTATTGAGAGCTTCTGGGAATCGAACTCAGAGAGCATGCTTCGCTGTTTGTTTTTTAGCTTTGTTTTCAGTCCAAAAACTATGCTTTTTTGCATATTTAGTTTCAAGTCCATGTTTTTAAAAGTTTCTCCATCGAACATGGTTCACATGAAGGAGGCATTAATTGTAAAAGCGGTTTTAATAAATTCAATCGCCGCGGAAAAGGAATTCTGGCGCGTCATCGAACCGTCGAATGCATGCAGGAGAACACCGGATTTCGAACCCACGAAATTCAATCTGGCACATATGCTTGAAAAAAAAACATTTCATTTGCAGCACAGTGAGATTCGAGCTATTCGCCAATTTGACAAAGTAACTGCGTAATTTGCATCACAGTAAGATTAAAGCTGTTCATGAGTCTCGTGGCATGTTCAACGCAGTTCTGACTTCTGACCCGCAGTGTAGCGGCACACTAGCACCCTTGAACTGTGGCGCACTCAAGGAGCTCTGACGAAGCAGAAGAGCGCATGCCTGAGAGGCACAGACGGTGTAATGCGTCTGTAGCACAAGGGCTGGTCCCCAAGTCCCACCACGTCTTATTCCTTAAAATGAAAATGGTCATGTTTCATTATTTCCTGAGCTTGTCATCATTTACGTGAGTTGTATTTGTAGATGCATAAAAAGCTTGAAAATTCTTAAATCACTTTATACGGGACCTCCAGAAAACCCCCAACAAGTTCTCTTTTATATAACTTGCATCAGTTGATTTTGTTCTGTCAGGGATGAGAAAAATTAACTTATGCGTTTTCGATTCTCATAGCTCTGACTTATTTTTAGTTTACTTATACAGGGTGATTTTGGAGTAATAATTGAAGGAATGGATTTCTTATAGACTCCATCTAAAACACTTAAAACAGGAATGTGAGCAGGTAATTTTATGATTTCTTCATTAAATTTGGCAATTCCTATACCCTAGTTAAAGCAGATTATTTTATGTTGAAAATACGTGTACTGATGGGGAGTGTGTCATATTCCCAACAAACTACAGTGAGACCCCCACATGCGGATGCCTTGACCTGCGGACAATTTGGCATAGGGACACTTATTTTCCCAGAAAAAATTTTTTTAAATGGCCCAACATGAGGACACTGACAATTGACATAGGGACATTTTGTGATACAATTGCAAATACATTTCAGGCCAAATTACAAGAAACAGATATTT